ATCCATAGTGCTTCTTCGAGGGATGATGCAGTATTCATTCTATTTAAAATAAGTTTTAAAAAACTGCTTATGATTTTTTGAAGGTATTTCGTTTAGTCTAGTTATTGCAATATTTTTGTTTACACATTCCCTGTTTCCGCAAATTTTGAGTTAGTTATTAAAAATTAAATAATATGAAATGTTCACATACTTTATTCGTTTTGCCGAATAATTATGTTTGTTTTATTATATTTAAGCTGTTGGTTACGTTTGTTAGTTTAATACTATTTTCAAAATTGTTTTTATTGAACACAAGTTTTTTTTTGTTTCCCAGGTAGACAGATTAATTTACTACTGTATTGCTTCTAACACAAATTAAAAAGTTTTGTAGTCTCCAAGCTGCTTTGATTGTACCCACGCATCTTGCATCAGTAAAACTATTTATGTCACGAAATATCTATGTTTCTTTGTCTTTTAATTTTTGAATTTTTATGTACGCTCTGTTACTACCTTTATAAATGTAGTATAAGGTATGACCACAGAGTTATCTTCCAAGATTATCTGAATATTTTTATCATTAAAGTAGTGTAACTCGTAGTGTCACTTAAACTTAAATTAAGACGTGTGACTTTTAATATATAAATATTTTGAATGTTATTTTGAATTAATTTTTGTAATTTTATTTACAAAAAATTATTGTAATTATCATTTTGAATTAAGATTGTAGAATATTTTGATTCATATTTTTATACACTCAGGTACATTCTGCTATTACAAAAAATTCTTTATAATGAAACATCCATCTCCGAATACTTTAACTCTGAGTCTATATTGTTTTGACCATATAAAAACATATAGTTATACGAAACTATTTGTTGTATGTATATTTTAAATTAATTAAAAGACTTGTAACATCATTAAGAAAAGTAGAACAAACTAAGTATAAAAATTTTACTGAGATAAAGAAATAACTTGTTAGTTTTACTCCATTTTATAACAAGTCCATTATTTCGTAGAATAAGTTAATATAATGCTTGGGGGGTTGGCACGCAGATCGTGCAGGGGGCAGAGTTCCACTAGTATATATATATAAGTTATATATTAAATATATACTTACTTAGGTTCTAAAGTTTACAAATTTGAAGAAAGAATAACGGACTTCTACCCACTGATATGCGAATTTGATTTTAAATGGGAAAATAAGATGAATACTTCAGTTATTAATCATAATAAACTTATTACTATAGAAAATCAAGTGAAGTGATCAGTTTTTCATAACTTAAGTGATGATCATAATGTAGACATTACACCAGAGAATATCATAACAAAGGTCAATAGTTGTGTTAAACAATCGTTAAATATGCCTAAAAACCTAACAAATGGAAAACCCTGGAATACTCAGGGGTTTAAAAAATGAGTTGAAACTAAAGAAAATTTAAACGAAATTTTGAGAAAAGATGCATATATAACTACTTTAAATTTTAAGCTTTAAAAAAAATACAACAATACCTTGAAAAAACTTTTAATGAGAGCAAAAAATACATGTGAAAGAAAAGTATTAGCAAAATGTGAAAGAGAAAAATTATGGTTTTTCGTTACATGTAAAGTTAGGAATCACAAAACCATACAGAGAATATTGATTATATAAAAAATGCTAATGATAATTATTTCAATAATAATTTTTGAAAGACTGAAGAGCTTGATAGACGTTTTAGTACAGGTGGGACTAAAACATTTGTGAGTATTCAAGAACTAAAGATTAAAATTTATTTGAAGCGAGAAGCATGTTGTGCATTGTCACTTTTTATGAACCCCTGTACTGTAAGTAAGATATTGGATGTAGTGACAACACTTAAGAACAAAAAGGGTGGTGTGAATAGGTTGCATGCTGATGTCGTAAAATCGTTGAGCGTGTACCTTACCCTACCACTCAGTTTCATACTTAATAAATGTGTTGAAAGATGTTGTTGGCCAAGATTTCAAAAAAGAGCAGATGTTATATCGATTTGTAAAGGAGGTGATAGACATAAGTCTGTCAATTACAGGCAATATCTGAGGCCAATGCCTTGATCTCAAATTTTGCGAAAATTTTTGAAATATTAATTTAAAATAGGTTGTTCAATTTTTTGACTTCTAATAAACTAATATCGGATAACCAATATGGATTTCAAAAAATTAAAGGCTGTACCGATGCTTTCGCTTCACTAAAGGTTACATAAATACAGTACTCGACTTATCAAAATCATCTGCAGTAGCCCTACTGCATAAATGTAAACCTTTTGATTGCGTTGATCGTAAACTGCTATTAAGTAAACTTGAGAACTATGGAGTGCGGGAAATAATGGTTCAACTCTTTAAAAGCTATCTACATGATATACTTATCAGGACAATTGCTGATAATACTACTAGTCATTATAAAATCATTAATATTGGTGTCCCACAGGGTACTATACATGGTCTATTGTTGTTTCTTACTGATACAGATTAGGGGAGTCACTTCCTTTGCTGATGACACAGCTGTGTTTTCTAGTTCAGACTCTTGGACTTATTAAGAAGAAGTATTAACAGATTAATTAAATATGTATTAAATATAATGTATATAATAAATTAAATGTAAATTGAATATATTACATTTTATTAGTTTTACATTAATAAACTAGCTACTAGTATTTATAAAACATTCATTATGACTTTTGGCAAATATAATGATTCAATACCACATATTTTTTCCATTATTATAAATGACCATAAATTTAATATAAAAAGTAAGGCTAAATAGTTGCTGTTTCTCTCTTATAAGCTTAAATCGGACTGAAAACCAGTCAGTTCTTTGCTGTATACTACGCTGTATTTCACAGTATAGCGACTTATGACACCTTAGCTTGGCCTTAGCTTGGGGATCAGCGTATCAAAACGTTTTAGGTCATTTACAATCTTTACAAAAGAGAATCATTAAAATTGTTGTTGACAACAAATATGAACAGATAGGACTTAAAACAAGACCACTTATAATTCATGACGTATATAATCTTGAATGTCTAGTCTGGGAATATTAGGCCTTACAGAACATGTATTTGACTGGTTCAAGCAAAACAAGAAACAGAAGTGTCCAGTATTTAAAATGTAATTTGAACAGTAGAAAATGCCGTTACAAGTACAAGGATATTACATTATTTTATGAACTGCCGCACGAACTGAAAGTTTTGGAAAATGTGAAAGGGAAAAGAGATAAAACATTTTGAAAGAAGTAAAAGATTATAAACAAAATAACTAAATTTAAAAAACCTTCAGTCATACTTCTTTGCTTCGTAAATTTTGTTTGTAAAAAAAAGTTAATTACATCGTCTTCCTTTTAACTTGTTTTCGATTATTAGAAATAAGTATTTTTTTTATTAGCTTTCAGATCGGCACTCCAGTGTACAGACATACTCAATGCCTTCTTGCTGGAATGTATTCAGTTTCAGTTTTGTGTTAACATACCACTATAGATTAGTTGAAGAAATAAATCTTATATAGCTGTAAATACATTATTATATCTATGTGTATTATGTTGTGAATAAATAAATGAATAAATAGTTAAACAATTATAACACACTGAATTTTTAATTTTTTCATGGTCATAAACACGAATAATAATGAAAAATTATACGTCAATATGGCGCTACTGATCTTAATAGGTTCTACAAACAAAACCTGTAAATAGACATTGTATAAATCGTGAACATTATAGAATATCATCAGTTATAGCGTTGGTAATTTAAAAAAAAAATACTGCTTTCAGAATAACTCTTTCATTTTGTGTTAAAGAAGCAAGTTTCAACTGTCAAACTTATCCAACTGTACTATAATTTTTTTATTATGACTTGTGTACATATTGTATTAACAATTGTTATAGGTATTACTAAAAATAGAATATAAATACTAATAAAATCTTTATTACAGTACGATCAGATATCATTTCCAAGTTTGCTATATACTGGAAAGATTGGAAGAAATACTTTAATTACGACATGGCATGTTTGACTGAAAACATAGTTAGTTTAGTCCTAAATTGCTGTCAAGGAGCTTTTCAAATAATAAATATTCTTTTGGATACAAGCTTAAATTCAAACGTTGGTGATTATGAAGATTTAAGTACTTGTAAAAATGTAAAGAGTGGTTCTCGTGAAATCCTAGAATCAATTTTGAAGAATGCTGAATCCATTGCCAGAACAGATCATTCTAAAATGAATAATTCTCTTCTGTTAATATCTATCAGGCAAGATTTGCCAAATATTTTACTTCTTTTATTAAGTCATGAACCATTGAGGATTAAAACAGGAATGAGATTATTGTCACTTCTCGGGGTGCAAAATTATAACATTTTAGTGTCAGCTACAACTTATTTATTACAAAAAGCTTCAACAAACTATCAACTAGCTCTTCTTGTCCGGTTTGTTATTGACAACATTATAAACTTATCTAAGAAGTTCAAAAATGAAAATGTTACTTCCTGCATTGGATATTTTACCCAAGTTGTTGAAGAATCAATTAGAGAAGCACAGTGTGCAAAAAAAATAGATAATTCAGCAGTATGCCAACTTTTTAGTAATGTGTCTATTCTCTTGAAGTAAGATATACATACTATAATATTTTATTGTACTTATAAATCATTTTTTTGGTTTTTTTACAATTACTAAATTAAAAGTTTACTTTTCAAATTAAACTTTTCTACACCAGATTTCTTGTAGAAACTCACAGACAATATAGGGATGAAGCTTTAAAAAAAATCCTCTGTGATGTAAGTGGTATTACTAATTTTCTGATAATGTGCAAAAAAATGCCATTAAGAATTTTTAGTGATTGAAAAGTTATTTTATTAGGTTAATACAGTAACGTAATATTACACTAAAGAATCCTTACTTATTTTTAGTGATTTTTATTTACAGTAAAATGCTATTTTATAACTACAATAAGTTTTTACTTCCACGTTACTGAAGAATTAATGTTAGTTCTCAATTTTTTGGTGATGTGCTGTTTTGTATGTATTATTTGTAATTTTTGAATTGTAGGTGTTAAAAATGATGGGGAAAATACTCTAGTAAATATTTTAGTATTCGTTTTTTGTTTACTTCACAGCCACAACATGGATCTTTTATACACTTAAAAATATATGTGTGTGCGATGTTACGTAGATGCAATGTTACTAATGTTATAGCATGAGGTAGCCATTTTTTAAATTTATTGGTAAATAGAGCGATTTTCTGTAATATATTATGTTTTGTAATACCATTTAAAACTGAGAGCAGTTTTGTATAAAAAAAGTATGAGTTAAATTCGGTGAATCATTTGGTAAAGTATTTTTTGGAAAATTATTTTTCCACCCTTGGTTGGTTTTGGGAGGGTGGTACTTCCTCGAGCAAAAATGCAGTTTTCCGATACTCGTTAAAAAAGTCTCCTTTATGAACCTCGTAATGGACCTCGAATTCGGCTCGGGCCGCAAACCTCTCGGTTCGCAAACAAAGATTTTTCAAATTCGTAGGAAAACTACTATATTACTTATTTAATGTCTTTATATTTAGTGTCACATGTAACAGTATAAATGAATGAGATATACTACATTTTTTATAGAAGCCATTGAATTCTGATAATGCTGCTGCACATATCATGTTATACCATAATAATATAGTGTTGGTAACATAAATAAGTTCCCAAGTTTTTCTCTTCATGTTTCGATGCACTACTCTGAACGTGATCTAATAACCATAATAACAATTGACTCAACATTTTTGAAGTTATACTTCTATAGGTGCGTAGTGCCCTACGGAGTAAATCAACGATTTCAGATTGGTGACCTTCAGAAAAAGTGTAACGGAAGTGGATTTTGCTTTGATTCTTCCCCTTCGCCCGGCCCCTCTTGACGTACTTCTGGTCCCCAGTACTACACCACACAACGTCATAGCACTACACCACACAACATCATCCCGCCACACCAGACCACACATTTTTAATTTTTCTTATTTTTTCTCTTAACCAGTTTCTAAGAGAAAAGAGAAAACAGCTTGCACACTGGGCAAGCTCCTTCCCCACTTTGCTGTGCAGGCCCGTCAGTGGAAAACCGATTACTTCACTTTATCGTACAGCTCATAACATATTTCTAACATGAATTTTTATTCACTTTTGGTTAAATTATTTATGAATTAAATAAACAGTTCATTTCACAAAATATATGTTTTGGTATCCGTTGTTTTCTAAAATTTAAAAATCAGTATATATTAGCAGATCAGCTTTCATATGTATAAATAGACATTTATTTACTTATCATTAATTTGTTTCTTTTAAAATTAGTGTTAATGTATATAATAATAACTATTTATACAATTTTAAACATTTCTTCATAACTTTCATGTTTAAAAAAAAAAAATTCCGCTCTGTATTAATACAATAATTAATTTTTGTTGCGTTTTCATTTTTTACAAAATTTCCTTTGTGATTAAGAACAAAATTTAGAGAGGTGGGAGGAACGCAAATATATGTAGCAACGCTGAAAATCATTAGACTTATAAGAAACAGCTTACATAAACGCTTCAAGACATGCTTGGCACGCTTTAACGCATACTTAACCTCTTTCTTCTTGCGTTAGTAAACAAAAACAATAAAAATCATCGATCTATTTGAAAATGAAACAGTTTTATTTAAAAGTAATTTTTTATATAAGCGGAATTGAAGAGCTTATGCTGATCTTATACATATAATTTTAAGTGATTTTTCCATACGGTTACATATTAAATTGCAAATGTTTAAAATTTAACTTGTGAAAGATGGTGCAGTTAAATAATGTGCATTTTTTTTGAGTATTTCTTATG